ACACACTTTACAAAACCTACACAATATTCTATTCACTCTACATTCAGAAGTTTTCACGTATTAATTACGTGGGAGCTACGCAGGTTGGGCCAGACTCAATTAGGCAGTTTTGATCATGAATAACTAACTAATCCAACAACACAAGGGATAATGGGAAAGTACCTTTTATTTTCGATAGATGGCAGCATCATACGATATGCTGCGAACCAGGTCAATACTCTGCTTACTTAGTGCGCATCGAGGAAACGTCGTGACCGGTAGACGGTTACCTATCGAGCAGCGTGTAAAATATTTGCGCCTTTTCTCAGTTACTAACAATGTATCAGAAGTCCAGCGCAGGATGTTGGAAGAGTTTGGACCGTCAGCAGTCCACATGGACACAATCGTCCGGATAAACAAGCAGTTTCATGAAATTGCCAGTGCTTTGAATCCCAAACATCCTGGTCAGCCGAGAACTCTCCGAACTGCTGATACACAAGCACGTGTTGCTGCGGAACTGGCATCATCTCCTCAGAAATCGAAGTCTACCCGCCGTTTGTCGGCCCTACTGAACATTTCGAGGACAAGTTTGCGGAGAGTTGAGTGACATGAAGCTGACGCCATACCATCCACAGATTATTCATGTTCTTAATGAGGACGAGTTCGACAGGCAACTTCAGTTCGCCGAATTGACGCTGACCAAGTTTCAGGAGAACCTGACCTTATCCGGAATATTGTCTGGACAGATGAGGCCAAATTTCACACATCATGATCGGTAAACAGCCACAACTGCGTGTTTTGGAGGCCAGGGAACCCCAGTGCCACCATTGAATACGATTTTCTGTCCCCGGAAGTGATGGTGTGGCGCGGCGTGACGTACGAAGGACTGATTGGCCCGTCCTTCCTTGAACGTTTCGTCACGGGGGAAACCTACCTAAAGTTGCTGAGGGAAAGTGTCATCCCAGAAATTCAGAGGATTGAGAATTTTGATGACCTGTGGTGGCAGCAAGATGGTGCCCCACCACATTTCGCCAATATTCTTCAGGCGTCCTTGCATCAAGTTCTTCCTCAAAGCTCGATTGGCTGTCGAGGGCCTGTGGAGTGGCCAGCCCGATCACCCGACATCACCCCACCAGACTTTTTCCTTTGGGTTACTTCAAAGACAAGGTGTACGCTAATCCCATTGACAGAGTGAAACATCTGCGTGAGGTGATTTTTCAGGAGTTCAATATAGTTCCGGTGAATATATGTAGAAAGGCGTGTGAAAATGTTGCTTTGCGTCTGCAAGCCTGTGTTGACTTAGGTGGTGCCCAGGTTGACCAGCATCTTGAAAATCGATGACTTGTGTGTGTGCGATTCCATTTTTGTAACCATTGCAATTGTTAACATGTATCAATAAAAATAACATCTAATCAAAAACTGCCTAATTGAGTCTGGCCCACCCTGTACAAGTTTCATTGTATTACACACTTCCAATTACTTCTCTTTTGAACCAAACATCTGCTTCTGACACTACTAAC